TGAAAGCCCTAACTTAGCAAAAATCAAGACCCAAAAATTGATCGATTCCACCCAGTGCAAAGAAAAAAAATATATGAATGTGTGAAACTTTCTCTTTTCTAAACTCGAGAGTCAAAATAAAAAAAAGTCAATATTTACGTAAATATTTTGACTCTGACCAAACGGCGTCAGAGTCAAAATCGAAAAAAGTTGACGGAGAGGGTTGTATTGGGAAATTGTACAGTACATGGGGTAAATCGATGAAATTGAGAGTACGAGGGGGTAAATTGGAATTTACCCTTAATCTTATTGTGCAACCAAACCAGACCAAATAGAATAAATTAATAATAGGGCAAATGGCAAATAAGCCCATGACAAGGGGCACTTAAGTAAAAGAGGGAAATCCAACTTTTTTACCTTTCAAATAAATTCAGCTCATTCAAACTTATTTGCAAATAAGAAAAATCATTTATATATACCAAAATTACCTCCAATTCATTGAAACTTAATTCAACTCCAATTTCATAATTTACACCACAATTTAGCCAAATTTCATCAAGTAACAAATTTTAACCATAATTTTAATTTTGACCCGCCACCACCGGAGACCGTTGGTCTTCGGCTTTAACTTTTTTTTTTTTCTTTTGAAAACTTTTTTTTTCCGGTAGGTCAACCGCCGTGGATCGCCGGGTCTCCGGCGTAGACTTTTTTATATATATATAAATTTGTTTTTCCTTAAAAAAAATATTTTAATTAATATTACTGTATTGGCTACTAAATTACTGTCTCCAACGGTTATTTAACTGTCGAATACAATAATTTAACTCTTAATTGACTTTTTTTTTTCTTCAAAAATATTTTAATTAATATTACTGTATTGGCTACTAAATTACTGTCTCCAGCAGTTATGTAACTGTCTGAGACAATAATTTAACTGTTAATTGACTTTTTTTTTTAAATATTTTAATTAATATTATTGTATTCGTTGCTAAATTATTGTCTCCAGCAGTTATTTAACTGTTGGAGACAGTAATTTAACTGTTAATTGACTTTTTTTTTCTTAAAAAAAATATTTTTAATTAATATTACTGTTTTGGCTGCTAAATTACTGTCTCCAGCAGTTATTTAACTGTCGGAGACAGTAATTTAACAGTTAATTGACTCTTTTTTTTTTTTTGAAATTTTTTTTCTTAAAAAAATTATTTTAATTAATATTACTGTCTTGACTGCTAAATTACTGTCTCCGATAGTAATTTAATTGTCTAAGGCAGTAATATTAATAATATTACTGTTCGGGAAAATAATATTCATAATATTACTGTCACAAATAGAAATATTCATGTCTGAGACAATAATTTAGTAGCCAAGACAGTAATTTTAATTAAAATATTGTTTTCTAGGAAAAAAAATTCGAAAAAAAAAGATCAATGCCGGAGACCGGCAGTCAACGGTGGTTGACCGGCCGGAAAAAAATTTCAGAAAAAAAAAAGAGTTTTCACAAAAAAAAAAAGTCAACTCGGAATCTTGCCGGAAAAAAAATTATTTTCTGAAAAAAAAATTCAAAATTATTATTTTGGAGGTTATTCGTTGCTAAATTATTGTTTCCAGCAGTTATTTAACTGTTGGAGACAGTAATTTAACTGTTAATTGACTTTTTTTTTCTTAAAAAAAATATTTTTAATTAATATTACTGTCTTGGCTGCTAAATTACTGTCTCCAGCAGTTATTTAACTGTCGGAGACAGTAATTTAACAGTTAATTGACTCTTTTTTTTTTTTTGAAATTTTTTTTCTTAAAAAAATTATTTTAATTAATATTACTGTCTTGACTGCTAAATTACTGTCTCCGATAGTAATTTAATTGTCTAAGGCAGTAATATTAATAATATTACTGTTCGGGAAAATAATATTCATAATATTACTGTCACAAATAGAAATATTCATGTCTGAGACAATAATTTAGTAGCCAAGACAGTAATTTTAATTAAAATATTGTTTTCTAGGAAAAAAAATTCGAAAAAAAAAGGTCAATGCCGGAGACCGGCAGTCAACGGTGGTTGACCGGCCGGAAAAAAATTTCAGAAAAAAAAAAGAGTTTTCACAAAAAAAAAAAAGTCAACTCGGAATCTTGCCGGAAAAAAAATTATTTTCTGAAAAAAAAATTCAAAATTATTATTTTGGAGGTTATTCGTTGCTAAATTATTGTTTCCAGCAGTTATTTAACTGTTGGAGACAGTAATTTAACTGTTAATTGACTTTTTTTTTCTTAAAAAAAATATTTTTAATTAATATTACTGTCTTGGCTGCTAAATTACTGTCTCCAGCAGTTATTTAACTGTCGGAGACAGTAATTTAACAGTTAATTGACTCTTTTTTGTTTTTTTTGAAATTTTTTTTCTTAAAAAAATTATTTTAATTAATATTACTGTCTTGGCTGCTAAATTACCGTCTCCGATAGTAATTTAATTGTCTAAGGCAGTAATATTAATAATATTATTGTTCGGGAAAATAATATTCATAATATTACTGTCACAAATAGAAATATTCATGTCTGAGACAATAATTTAGTAGGCAAGACAGTAATTTTAATTAAAATATTGTTTTCTAGGAAAAAAAATTCGAAAAAAAAAGGTCAATGCCGGAGACCGGCAGTCAACGGTGGTTGACCGACCGGAAAAAAATTTCAGAAAAATAAAGAGTTTTCAAAAAAAAAAAAAAAGTCAACTCGGAATCTTGCCGGAAAAAAAATTATTTTCTGAAAAAAAAATTCAAAATTATTATTTTGGGGGTTAATGTGATATATTTGTTTAAATCCGGGGTCAATGTGTAATATTAAAAAAGTTAGAGCATAATAGATGAAATGGATAAGAATTATATTATGGAGGATATCTTAGAGTAAAGACATGGAATGAGTCTATTTGAAACACTGTTTTTTTTTTATGGACCTATGTGCATTTAAATCACATGTGATTGACGTATTTGTCATTCGCGTTGATAATAATAATAATGATAATAAATAAAAAATAATAATAATGGGGGTGTTGACTTGCTAGGCGCTCACATCCTCTGATTAAGATGTAAGTAAAACGAGGACCCCACACAACTCTTCATAAACTTTCATCAAACCTCCTATTTTCTCTCTCTCCCCCCTTTTTTTCTCTCTCTATCTCTGCCCTTTCTCTCTCTAAAAACTGAAAAACCAAAGCATTATTATTGTTCATAACGGTGATGGTGGTGGTGGTGGTGAAGGAGGAGGGACATGGAGGCTGTGGAGGAAGTGGCGGCGCCGCCTTGTCGGAATAACACCACCGACCTCTCCCCCATCGCCAAGGGCAAGCGCACCAAGAGACTCAGGACTCACTCCCCTATTCCCTTCACCATCACACCACCACCCCCCGCCGCCGACCACCACCCTCCCCGCCGCAGCCCCACCTCCTCCGAGGAGAGCACCACCACCGAGGAGGTCGAGACCGCCAGATGCCTCATCCTCCTTTCCCGCGGCCATTTTCCTCCACTCTCCCCCAAACCCACCAGGACCGGCGGCGGCGGCGCGTGCGTCTACACATGCAAGACGTGTAACCGCGCATTCCCGTCGTTCCAGGCCCTCGGCGGCCACCGCGCGAGCCACAAGAAACCCAGGAACGATAAGAGAGCCGCCATGTTTTCCGACGAGGAGGATTTTCCGTCGCCGTCGATGTCTTCATTCAGGAACAGAATTTCCCCCAACTCCCTCTCTCTCCAGCTGAGCAACATCTCCACCACCGCCGCCTTCTCCGCCGCCGTGAAGTCGTCGCCGTCGCCCAGGATCCACGAGTGCTCCTACTGCGGGGCGGAGTTCACCTCCGGCCAGGCCCTCGGCGGCCACATGAGGAAGCACCGCGGCGGTCCGATATTAAACAGGTCGCCGAACAACGTCCAGTTATTATTACCAGAAGCCTCCATTGAAGAGCTCGAGCTCGCACAATCCAAAAAAACCCGACCCGGACCCGGACCCGGATCCGGGCTCTCTTTGGATCTCAATCTTCCGGCGCCGGAAGATAATCATGATAAAGAGAAAGAGCGACCATTGATTAACTGCCATTATTAAAATTGAGAAGCTTTTTAAAAATTAATTTTATTATATATACATGTTCGGCACTACTCTTATTTACTACTAATATATTTTTTTATTATATTATTATTCAGACAATTATAATTTATTTATTTATTCGATATTCAATTTGTACATTCTATTTAATTAACAAGTTTTTTGAATATTGATACAATGGTAAATAAATAGACTTGAACATATCATTTAATTTTTTTTATTTAATTTAATGCAAGCTAATTACTTGAGTTATTGAGTGTTTAAACGATTAACAATTTTAGTTATATAAGCCTATAATTAATCGATTAAAAACTATGTTCCAATTTCGATTTTCGAACCCTAATTAAATTATAGTAACCATAATATCTTATAATAGTTTATTTACACATAAAAATACAAATATTTGAGTGATTAAGAATTAAATTACATGGCATATTTTCAATTGTTCCAATCATATTTTTTTATCGATCTAAATATGACGGAAGGGCGAGCGCATCGAAAGAGCTCGAGCTCGAATTACAAATGTATAAATGCATGGTTTTGTTTTTAAAGAAAATATATATATATATATCCAGAGTCTAATTGTCCCAATCATATCGTTCGATATGCCCTTCTGGAAGACCATTGTCAAAAAAATAAATACCATCACTTCTCGCTACCCAATAGGAGTGGTCCCGGACAACTGGTTCGAACCACGGTTGTTTAAAAGCATCGAAACTTTTATTCTTCGAACCCCACCAGAGTTGGCAGGTAAAAATAGTTCTCGGGATTAGAAAACTTTCGCAAAAGCTCCAATGAAATTCTTCGTCGGTGTGAAGTGTATGGAATCCAAGATCGTCATCTCTTGATACGCAGTGCAATTTCAATGGTTCCGAGTCGCGAGGGAGATGACTTATGATGTAAACCCTTTGTTTCGCCGTTATAAAACATCCGGCGGCGAATTCTCGAAGAACGATGAGATGTACAAAGAGAAATATCAAAAATGTTTTTATGATGATCATGGTATATCTCATTTTCTTTTTCTTTAATTTGATGTATTAATTTTCATATATCTTTGAAGTCCTTCTTATAAGCAATTTGACTAATTCTTATGCAGCCAAATGAAAGTTGTGAGGGACAAAAATCGAATTTAAAAAATGAAAATGTAAAGATTGTGGTTAGTTAGAAGTTATGAAATACTTTGTGCATGCAGTTTGTGAGAAGTATTCTTTAATTTTTTTTTTTTGGGTGTTAAAATGCATTTTGCCCTCAATACTTTTGGCATTTTTGCACTTTACCCCTAAACAAAAAAAAAATTGAGCGCGATCATATTTGGGACTTACTAATCTGCTACACCAACGCCTAAAAAGTCCAATTTTGGCAAAAAGAACTCCCTGAATTGCACACATGAGAATGGATGGGCAATGTTGTCAATTCACATGGTTTTAAAAAAAAAAATTAACTGCCCAAAGTATGGGGGCAAAGTGCAAATACATCCAAAATACGGGGGCAAAGTGCAAAATGTCCAAAGTACGGGGGGCAAGGTGCAACAGCGTCCAAAGTTTGGGGGCAAAAGTGCATTTTCTTTTATTTTTCCCTTCCGGTATGCTATGTTCAATCCAATGAAAAACGAAGATATATAAATAGAACTTAACCCCTGTGTTTTGAACATTTTACACATGACCCCATTGTACTTTATATTAACACTTATCTCCAACCTCTTCTACAGATATTTCAGCTTATAATATCTTTTATTATTCCTTAGATTGTAGAGATTAGTTGTTATGTTAGTCTAAATAAATCCCTCGAAGATAGGAGATTTATAGCTTGATTGTTTAGGGTTTGTTATTTCTCCTCTGTATATATTCTTGTACACGATGGTTAATAGCATGTTTTTCAATAATCCTTTGTAATCTCTTCTATATGGTATCAGAGCCTTTCTCACTCTCACGAGTAATATCTATTTCTACCCACCACTCACCCATGGCTACCACAACTCCTGCAACTAATACCATTCAATTGGTTCAATTTAATCCGGCTTCCCAACTGCCTTTGAAACTCACAGGAGCTTCTAACTTTTCCAATTGGAAGGCTCAAGTCTCCTCGCTCATGTACGGACATGACATATTTTCTTACCTTGATGGCAGCACACCTGCTCCAGCCCCGACAACCACCACAAACAGTCAGGAGGTGCCCAATCCACTATATAAACTTTGGTTTCGGCAGGACCAACTTATTCGTAATGCGTTGATGGCCTCAGTAGATCCGACCATCACCTCCACCATTGTTGCCGCTGCCACTTCCAAACAAGCATGGGAAGCTCTTCACACACTCTACGCCAATAAATCTCATACAAGAATCTTCAGTCTCCGAAACTCCTTAACCAAAGTTTCGAAGGGTACAAAATCCATCGCTGAATATCTTCGAGATATTCGAAGCATTGCCGATGAACTTGCCACTGCTGGTGCGCCAACTACGACCGAAGAACTAGTCGTCAAAATTTTGAGTGGCCTTACTTCCGAATACGAAGCCATTTCCGCTGCGATTCAAGCACGTGACTCAGCCATATCCTATGAGGAGCTATTTGACAAACTCATTAATCATGAGATGTTTCTCAAACACAATGAAGCTCAGAAACCTGTACCTCCTATCACCGCTGTCGTCGCTCAAAGGGCCAACAACTCTTTCACATCTTCTCGTAATACTCGAAGAAGCTATCCACAACAACAAGCATGGCGCTCTCAGCCCAATCGTAACCAAACATGGAGAAATTCATCTTCTCAGTGGTCTCCATCATCTGCTCCACAACAATTCTCACAGGTACAATGCCAACTTTGTGAGAAACTTGGTCACACTGCACGTGTCTGTCGATCCCGCTCACACAATCATATGGAAGCAAAAGCCAATTTCGTCTCCAAATCTACCAATACTCCGACATCTCCATGGATCTTGGACTCCGGAGCATCTCATCATTTGACTTCCGAACCTCGAGGTTTCACCAATACCGACGAGTATCATGGAACGTCAGAAGTAGCAATGGGTGATGGTAACATGATCCCTATAACTCACACTGGTTCTACTCAATTAAGTGCATCTAATTTTACTTTCAAACTCTCTAACACATTATGTGCGCCTGCTATCAAACAAAATCTTATCTCTGTCTCAAAATTTTGCCAATACAATCTCACATCTATTGATTTTTTTCCTTTCAAATTTCTTGTGAAGGATCTGAGTACGGGAACCCCACTAGTGTGCGGCAGGAGTAACGATGGACTCTATGAGTGGCCCAATTTCAATAATCCAGTGTCTCTAAGTGCACTTACAACACATCCTCTTGACTTGTGGCACCGTCGATTGGGTCATCCCAACTCTCGAACATTGCATTTTATGTTGAATAAATTTTCCTTACCATTCTCAGCTAAGGAAAAATTTTATTTTTGTAATTCCTGTTCGTCGAATAAAGTCCATAGGCTTCCGTTTTATCAAAATACATTGTCCAGTGATGCCCCCCTTAAACGACTTTTCAGTAATTTATGGGGGCCATCTCCTGTCCTATCTATTGATAAAAAATTATACTACTGCATTTTCGTCGATCAATTTACAAAATATGTCTGGCTTTATACTCTCAAAACAAAAAATGAGGTTCAATCGATATTTCAAAAATTTCATCCCTTGGTTGAAAATTTTTTCAAGACCAAAATTGTGTCATTATATACAGATGGGGGTGGTGAGTTTCAAAGCCTAGGTCCTTATCTTCAATCTCATGGCATAGAACACCTTTTCTCTCCTCCTTATACCCCACAAAGAGTTGCAATTGCAGAACGCCGTCACCGGCATATTATTGAAACGGCCAAAACATTACTCTATCAAGCCTCGTTGCCTTCTAAATTTTGGTCGTTTGCCTGTCATCATGCAACCTTTCTAATTAATCGCCTACCTACCCCGAATCTGCAAAATCAATCTCCATATAAGAAATTATTTGGAGAAGATCCGAACTACCAATCATTGAGAGTTTTTGGTTGTCTTTGCTACCCGTGGTTGAAACCATACACGAAAAACAAACTTGAGCCTCGCTCTAAACCTTGCATATATCTCGGCTTCTCTGTTACTCACCATTGTCATCAATGTTTTGATCCAAAAACCTATAAGTTATTCTTGTCTCGAGATGTCAATTTTTTTGAAAATATTTTTCCGTATGAAAATATTTTTCAGAACTTGAAAGATGATATTTCAAACAAAGATTGGGATATTGTTTTTCTTCAAAATACACTCGAAAAAGAAATTCCATCTCCATCCTTGTCGCTTGACATACCACAGCCCATAATCATTTCACAAGACTATTTACGGCGCCACTCCGGAGCTCCGACATTGCCACCAGTCAACACTAGTTCGGGACTCTCTCTACCAGGTAATTCTACACCACCATCATCTAATATACCCCCACTCACAACCACCACAGCCACAAACCCATATATTCCCACTCATTTAATAACTCACCAGCACCTTGTTTCAGCCTCTTCTTCAGCATTACCCACAACCCATAATTCCAATCCCATCACCATTGCTCCACCTACAGCCGAAAATTCCAACCCACCCACCATTGCTCCTCCAACTTCTTCTTTATTACCCACAACCCAAAATCCCAAAGCCTCTACAGCTGAACCAAGCCGTATAACCACTCGATCCCGAAATAAAATATTTAAACCGAAACGAGTTTTTGACTTCACAACAAAACTTCCCCCCCTCAGCACTCCTAACACCCTTAAACAGGCTATTCAATTTCCTCAATGGAGCGATGCTATGAAAGTAGAGTTTGATGCATTATTGAACAATCAAACATGGGAGTTAGTACCACGGGATCCCACACAAAATATTATTGCTTGCAAATGGTTGTTTCGAGTCAAGCAAAAACAAGATGGTACAGTTGATCGCTTCAAAGCGAGGTTAGTAGCTAAGGGCTTCACTCAAAGGGCCGGCATCGATTATCACTCTACATTCAGCCCAGTAGTTAAAGCTACTACGGTACGTCTTGTTTTGTCCATTGCTGTCCAAAATAACTGGCCTCTGCATCAACTAGACATTAACAATGCATTCCTCCAAGGACACTTGGAAGAGGAAGTGTTCATGCAGCAGCCTCCTGGTTTTGAACATGAAGATTTGCCGAGCCATGTGTGTCGCTTAAAAAAAGCCATTTACGGTCTTAAACAAGCCCCGCGGGCATGGTATATTGAGTTGACCAACTCGTTACAGCAAATGGGGTTCAAAAAATCGAAATCTGATAGCTCGCTCTTTATTGCTCATAGAACAAATGTATCTCTCTACATTTTAGTCTATGTTGAAGATATTATTGTCACAGGGAGCAGCACAAAACTCATTCGAGAGGTTATCTCTACTCTCTCAAGTCGATTTTCTCTCAAAGATCTTGGTCTTCTTACGTATTTTTTGGGCATTGAAGTATTTCGTAAACCTGCCGGCATATTTCTCTCGCAATCTAAATATATTATGGATATTCTCCATGATTCCAATATGCAAGATAGCAAAGGCGTTCTCACTCCGATGAGTTCAAACCAAGTCCTCTTTGCCAATGATGGACATGAACCGACAGATGCCACCAACTACAGAAAAGTGATTGGCAAGTTGCAATACTTATCTTTCACTCGGCCCGACATCACGTATTCTGTAAATAAATTGTCCCAATTTATGCACTCTCCATCTGAAAATCATTGGAAAGCAGTGAAGCGAGTTCTCCGATATCTCCAACATACAGCTACTTATGGTCTTCAAATAAACACTCAGAATGACCGGAATCTTTATGTTTACTCAGACGCCGACTGGGCTGGTAACCCGAATGATCGCACATCAACAACGGGATTTCTTATATTTCTTGGATCAAACCCCATCAGCTGGTCTTCTAAAAAACAAAAAACGGTTGCCCGATCATCAACAGAGGCGGAGTATAGGGCTGTTGCTACGGCAGTCACGGAAACTAATTGGGTAATGAACTTGCTACAAGAGCTTCAAGTAACACTCTTTCGACCACCGAAGATTTTCTGTGATAATATTGGGGCTACCTATCACTGTCAAAATCCTGTGTTGCATAGTAAAATGAAGCATATAGAAGTTGATTTTTACTTTGTGCGAGATCAAGTAGCAAAGAATCAAGTCATTGTGACTCATATACATGCAGCAGACCAATTGGCAGATACACTTACGAAACCTCTTCCGAAGCCTGCTTTCCATCGTCATTTGTCCAAGTTAGGTGTCGTTCCTCAACACCCAACTTGAGGGGGGCGTATTAACACTTATCTCCAACCTCTTCTACAGATATTTCAGCTTATAATATCTTTTATTATTCCTTAGATTGTAGAGATTAGTTGTTATGTTAGTCTAAATAAATCCCTCGAAGATAGGAGATTTATAGCTTGATTGTTTAGGGTTTGTTATTTCTCCTCTGTATATATTCTTGTACACAGATGGTTAATAGCATGTTTTTCAATAATCCTTTGTAATCTCTTCTATACTTTAGAGTTTATGTTAACATAATAATATAATGATTTATCAATATAATCGATCAATGAAATTTTCCCAAATTTGAAACATAATATATTGAAATTTAATCTTTATTATATACAAAATAGATAAAGCTATTCACATTTACTTCTCATAAAGTACATGGCTTAGGGGTTTTTTTTAACCATTCCAATCATATTTCTTCATCAAGAAATTTGGGAATTTATCGTCGTAAGAAAAATAAATACCATCCCTCATTGCAATCCAATAATACGTATCGATATCATCTTCGATAAGTTTCGATCTGAAAGCATCGAAAGCTATATCTTTTGATCCCCACCAAAGGTGACAGAAGAACAGTGTATTGGGAATAATATTTTCGCAGAAACTCCAATGAAATTCTTGATTAGCATCGTAAAGCGTGTGATTACCAAGATCGTTATCTTTAGATGCACAGTGTAACTTCAATGGTTCGGAGTTTGGAGGCAGATAATGAATAATATAAACCTCGAGCTTCGGTGCCAAAAAACATCCACCCGCAAAATTTTGAAGAATATTAAGTTCGATAATAACGAAAAATAACAAGAGGATTTTCGCCATGGTGTACATATCTTATTTTTTTGTTCAATGTCTTATTATTCGTTTTCGGGGTTCCTTTTATTAACAAAATTTCATTTAATAGAAAAAATAACATTGGATTTACTGTAATCCGATAAATAAAAAGGTCGACCGGGTAGAAGATGGGTGGTTACAACAATCTATGGTGGACGAAAATTAAATTACATGCTACTTTTTTCTTTTTTAGGACAAAAAAAAAGTTGTAAATTTTATTACATATTAACTAACAAACTTTTTATGTAATAGTGTTTTCTCATACAAGATTGTCGTAATAAAGGGCGATCTGGTAATCATATTGCCCGTAAGTTAGCTTGGAGAGTTTCGATATAACGAAGGAGTTCATCTTCCCGCGAGCTTCGCAATTTAGCATTAATTGTATTATTTTCCCCTCAAAAAAAAAAAAGTTGTTAACCAGCTCGTTAAATTCGATTTTTTCCATACAAAACAAAAAAAATAATAAAAAAAAAGACTAATCGGTTTGTATAAATTGCAAATTTTAATTCTATTTAATCATAATTAAAAATTACTCTTCATTTATTTATCGTGCTTATACATATATAGCTCGGGAATTACACAAATAATATTTCTAATTGTTCCAATCGTATTTCTTCTTCAAATCATTCGGGAAGTGATACGCATTAGCAAAATAAATACCGTCGGATTGTGGTACCCAATAAATAGAGGGGGTACCAAAATCGATCGGTTTTTGCACAAAAACGTCGAAAGCTCGATCTTTCAATCCCCACCAGAAATGACAAGCAAATAAAGTATCACCCCAGAAACTCCCGCAAAAACTCCATTTAAATTCCTGGGCGGGTTCAAGTGTATGATAACCCAACTCGTCGTCTTTCGACCAACAATGCAGTTTCAGTTTCGAAGAGTTTGTCGGTAGATTACTAATGATATGAACCGTGCGCTTCGGAGACAAAAAACATCCCTCCGCGAATTTATTTCGAAGAATGTTAATTTCTAGAGAGAGAAACACTATAAAGAGGAGTTTTATCATGGTGTAGTAACTCATAAGTATATTTGTAGTAATTGTGATTTAATTAATTCATCTTAGGATGCTCAATTTATAATAAGCATTTGATTTGACAAATGAAAATTTTGATAATACGTATATAGATTTAATTGACATTTGAAATTTTATTTTGATAATACACGAAATAATATTTTTTAAATTATTGAGAGAATTGAAATCATGAATATATATTATATAAGTGATCCCAAAATCGAAGATAGTGGACCAAAAATTCAAAATCTAAAATTGAATATATCACAAAAGAGAAATAGTTTACACTGATGTTGATTGTTCAAAATTCAGTAGTGCAATTTTTCATTCAAAATCAGATTGTTCAATTTTTTTTGTGAGTTCTTTCTAAATTTATTTTCTGTGTTGACCGACAAGCACAATAATATTTTTTTATTATGTATTGTTCTTTTTTGTTGTGTTGACTAGTCAACAAAGTACTATTATAGTGTAACATGTTAATTGGTCAAAATAGTTTATGTACATCTACAATATTTAAAATTACACAGTGTATTTCATCAGGTGTAGAATTTTATACAATCACTCTTTGCTTCCCAGTAACACGCGCAAAAACTCCATTCAAAGTTGCTGCCAACATCAAGTGTGTGGTATCCGAGATCGTCGTCTTTCGACCAACAATGCAGTTTCAACGGTGCCGAGTTTGGAGGTAGACTATTATCGATTTGAACCGTGCACTAAATCGTGAAAAAACATCGCAAATTGATGCTGCAGAATATTCCCTTCTATGAAGACAAATAATAACATTAGGGCTTTTATACTTGTCTTAGTATTTTATTTGGCACATTTATAAGCATTTGGGGTGGCTTGCTAAATTAAATTAAGACTGAATTTGTAGAAATATATGGAGGAATTGATTGATATAATTAATATTTATTGATTAATTAGACTAATATATGGAACAATTTACAGAATATGTTCAATTTATATATGTGCATAATTTAACTGATTTGCTAAAATAAATTAATTATTCTCATCGTTCATGGATTTAAATATATTTAATTGATCTCGAAATTTACAATCCACAAAAGGAAAATTAGATATAGATTCTGAACTTTTTTTTGGCTAAAAATGTGTTAGGTGTTCGTAACATCAACTTGTGATTTTGCTTCTTTCAAATAAGTTACTTTAAACTGTATTTTTAAAAGCACCCGTTGATTTTTTTTTTCATTTGAATCGATTTTCCAGTACATTTGCGAACACCAAACTTTTAGAAATAAAAAACCAATTTAACTCACGATTACTAATTTTTCTACTTTCAAATAAGCTTTTGCAAGCACCACCTATGATAGATAAACATATTAATTAATCACTAAAAAATAAAAATAAATGAAGAAGAAGAAGAAGATAATATTGTGTCATCGTTTTATTTCGCGCAAATACTACATATCGGTAATCAACATCGTACAAATTGTGTATTTCTATTTGTTCCAATCATATTTTTTACTAGAAGCTTCCGGATAATCAATTCCATCGGCGAAATAAATACCATCACTCTTTGCTATCCAGTAAAGTGCTTCGGTCCTTAGTTTAAAAATGTTTTCCTTAAAAGCGTCGAACGCTTTTTCTTTCGGAAACCACCACAGATGACAAGCAAACAAAGTTGTAGGCAACACATTCGGACAAAAACTCCATTGAAATTCTTGGCCGATCGAAAGTGTGTGATTTCCCAAATCGTCGTCTTTCGAATAGCAATGCAATTCCAACTGCGGAGTATCCCGAGGTAGATCATTGACGATGTGAACTGTGCGCTTCGACGAAAAAATACTACATCCTTCCGCAAATCGGTCGGGAATGCAAGCTTGTATTACAAGAAATAGCAAGAAAATTTTATAAATTCTGAAACTCATTATTTTTATTATTTTTTTATTGGTTATGGTGATTTGTTGAAGGTGGTGGTTTTTTCATCATTGGAAGTTTATATTTATAGGCGTTATAAATATTAAACTTGCTAGCAAATGAAAATTGTGATTCATAGCACATGTGTAATATATGGAAAGTTGAATAAACAAACGTGATTAGTGAAATAATTACAACTTATTTCATAATATTATTCCCATGAATTTGAATTTGAGTTAAGGTAATACATGGATTTATAATGGATGTCTTGAAATTAGATTACACTAAATTTCCTTTGAATTTAAAGATCGTTCAAGTTTCTCTTTGGTCTTGGTCAACATCAACTTTAAAAAAAAAATCACTTAAACAAAAAAGGAATATTGCCAAAAGAACACAATATTTTATTTTTCATCGATAATAAACTCGGTAATCAACATAATCGTATTACATATTTCTAACCCTCCCAATCATATTTTTTCTCGGGATTTTGAATATGATTTGCATCACCGAAATAAATACCATCAGGCTTTGCTATCCAGAAAAGATCTTCGGTCGTCGATTTGAATAGTGTATCCTTGTAAGCATCGAATGATTTCTCTTTTGGGAACCACCAAATGTGACAAGCGTATAAAGTGGTCGGGAAAAAATTCGTGCAAAAAGTCCATTTAAATTCTTGGCCGATTGAGAGTGTGTGATTTCCAAAATCGTTGTCTTTCGAATAGCAATGCACATCCAACTGCGGAGTATCCGGAGTTAGCTTATTAACGACGTGGATCGTGCGCCTCACTGTAGCGCCACATCCTCCTTCCGCAAATCGGTGGGGGATGTTAGCTTCTATTACAAGAAATAGCAAGAAAATTTTAAAAATTGTGAAACTCATTATTTTTTTTTCTTTTTTGGTTATAGTGATTTGTTGAAGGTGGTGGTTTTTTCATCATCGGAAGTTTATATTTATAGGCGTTATATATTAATTAGGGTCTGATTGGTTTGATTGGTTTAGGTAAAATAGTAAGTAAAAAGGTGAAATTTCCGAGTAATTTAATTTTCCTGTTTGGTTTAAAGGTAAAATACTGTGTAAGTAATTGGGAGAAAACGAGGAAAACTGTTTTAACTAAAAATCAGGAAAAACCATTTTTCTCCTAAATTATTTTTTACGTTTACGTGGATTTTTATAAATTACTTTTTGTTCAACTATTCGCCATCGTTTATGTGCCGCCACTTCTACCACCGTCGATTTTCCAACATTGTCAACAGCTCAGCCTTCCACCACCTCCTCGCCGGAGATCCGGTGATCATCTCCGACACCACACATCCCAGCGCCCAAATATCCACCAGAAGACCATGTTCGCTGCCGCCTCCCACCACCATCAGCCTTCCACCGCCGACCTCCGCTGCCACTCCGAACTCCGCCGCCGCCTCTCCACGCTGCCCTTCACCGCCGACTCAACAGTACCAACCTCCACCGCCGACTCAACTCCGACCTCCGCCGCCACAACACCTGCAATCACTACAGCCGACTCAACGCCGACCTCCCTGAAACAAACAAAACAAAGGAAAGTAATTTTCTACGTATTCATTTTTATCACTATTTTTCTTAGGAACCAATCACAATAAGAATTTCAAAAGTCATTGATTTCATTTTCTTTTGTATTTCCATTTTCTTTATTTTAAAATTCATGAACCAATCAGATTCTTAAACTTGCTAGAAAAAGAAAATTGTGATTCATAGCATATGTGGAATATATGAAGAGTTGAACAAACAAACGTGATTCTATGAAATAATTACAACTTATTTCATAATATTATCCCCATGAATTTGAATTTGAATTTGAATTTGAATTTGAATTTGAATTAAGACTATTATGGATGTCTTGAAATTAGGTATAATTACACTAAATTTCCTTAAAGATTGTTCAAAATTTTCTTTGGTCTTGGTAGGACCGGTAATTGAGCCGGGCCTAACCGAAGCCCGATGGCTTGGTCCGATTATATAATATGAGTCGAGCCGAGTTTGAGCAATTTTACTAAACTCGATTTATTTACGAGCCGAGTTTGAACCTACTATGGATCAACCACAATAAGGCCCGACCGATTAGGTTAATGATAAAATATATAATATATTTATTAGTTTCATGCTATGACTCAACATACAAGCTACGACTGTATATGATTATTTTATTTTGCAAAGAAAAAAGTTAAAATAAAAGGAATTAAGTGGTGCGGTGGCAGTAAGATAAATAGGAATCAAATACAACATACCCATCGAAATTCAATTCCTAATTTATCACCGAGATTTGATAATAAAAAAAATGTTTCCAATAATTAGAGTTAGGGCTCGTTCGATGCTATAAAGTTCTACTGACTAAATAGTAGGGGCTAATAACATGTCCGGATGGTAAGATTCACATTTTTCAAATCCGCTACTAAAATTAAAGTCCGCTATTAAATGTTATTATTTGATTAAATTAGTAGCACATCTCCCCCTGAGATTAATTTAATAGGTGGTGACTAAAAAGGAAAAATACGATTTCATCCTTAAAATCATATTTTATTATTGTAAACTTAGTGGTTTTATAGACAATTCATATATACTAATTGATTGTAACAAATTTAATAGAAAATCTAATCTTAGAAACCGAACATGCTACTAACTAAAAAATTAATTAGTCAGTAGAGAGTTAATTCAATCTCATGTAATCCAACCTAATCCAATATAAGTAATCGAACGAGGCCTTACTATTTTTTTTACTTCTTTCGGTCTTATTTTATCACTTGTTTTAATAAAAAAAAATTACTCATTGTAGTTATATAGTAATGGGGCTCGATATAAACCCGAAACCCGAAAAAATATATGAGCCGAACTTGAGCCTATACTAGTGAGGCCCAGTACTATATGAGCTTGAGCATATAATAACAATAGTATGTGAGCTTGAACCGACCCAAACTCGGCTCACATAGCTCGATTGCTAGCCCTAGGTCTTGGTCAACATCAACTAAAACAAAATCACTAAAAAAAATGGAATGCCAAAAGAAAACAATGCTTTTTATCATAAATAATAAACTCGGTAATCAACATAATCGTATTACGTATTTCTAGCCCTCCCAATCAAATTTCTTCTCGGGATTTTGAACATGATTTGCATCACCGAAATAAATACCATCAGGCTTTGCTATCCAGTACAGATTTTCAGTCGTCCATTTGAAAAGTCTCTCCTTGTAAGCATCGAATGATTTCTCTTTAGGAAACCACCAAAGGTGACAAGCGTATAAAGTGGTCGGCAAAAAATTCGTGCAAAAAGTCCATTTAAATTCTTCGCCGATAGAAAGTGTGATATTTGTGAAGTCGTCGTTCTTCGAATAGCAATGCACATCCAACTGCGGAGTATCCGGAGTTAGATTATTAACGACGTGGATCGTGCGCCTCACTGTAGCGCCACATGCTCCTTGTGCGAATCGGTTGGGAATGTTAGCTTCTATTACAAGAAATAGCAAGAAAATTTTGAAAAAATTTAAAGAACTCATTTTATTTATTTTTCGTAATAGTCAATTGTTGAAGATGATGTTTGTTTACATCGTTGGGAGTTGAATATATAAGCACGTGAAAATTGTGTTAAATAAACAAATATGGAATAATTACAACTTACTTCAGAATAAATAAGAATTTTAATTTATTACGGATCCGTTCGGAATCTTTTCCAATATTTTATCAATTCACAATACTTTAATATTGGGAAATATTTTCCATGTATTTCATAATAATAAAAATTAATGGTCGATAAATATTTTACACAAGGAAAGAATTGTAGCTAATTAATTAAAGAAATCCATTTAACTCGTATTGTATCCTACCATAAATATATAGGTCGATAAATATTTTACAAACACGATTATATTAAAAGATGTACTAATAAAATAAATTAATCAAATTAAATAAATAAATACACAAGGAAAAAATAATAATTTTAAATAGTCAAAATCCCGATTTAGAGACATGTCCAAGAAAAATAATACATCTACATAAGTATAAAAAAAACATTTAAATTAAATTAATAAATAGAAATCAGCAGAATATCTGTTTGTCACAACCCTGACTCAGGAGCTGGTGGACTCACTACTGGAGCTGAAGCATCATCAAAAATTCCTGTATTCAAAAAAAAAAAAAAAAAAAACTCGATTTTAAAGCACGTTAACGAAAAAAAAATATGTAATTACATACGAATTTTTTTTTTTTTTCTTTTTGAGGTACTGACCACAACGGAGGAGGTTTTGAGGCGGGGCCCGCTCCTTAGCCGGGTTCGGGTCATTGTCGTGGACCCGTATGTAGAGTTCTTGGCCCATATACCAATGCACCAGATTCTGTGATCTCAAATTCCACATACCTGGATTGTCGAGAAACACGTAGACAGCCGTCCATTTACCTGGATACACTTGAACCGTTGATCGAACGACCGGATCGTATAGGTTGTACGTTTTTCGCGATCCAACCGTCCATTCTCCATCGCCGAACCTGTCGTTTATGTGATTAGATAATTAATTAATCATAGAATGATAGTTGGTGGCATAATTTATGCTGCTTCGTTAGTTATTTGTACGATTAGATAATTTATCGTAAAATGATGGTTGATAGTAGGGGTTCATATTGGAAAGATTGGGTCGGAATTTGCACTTTTGAAAAAAAAAATCTTTTTTAAGTGAAAAACTAATTTCAAGTCCGTTCCACTTTGTGGCCACCTATATTGTAATTTTCAGTAGAATATTTTTCCAAATAAGAATCAAATCAGAAATTGGAATCGAAGAAAAATGCCGAAAATACCCTTACCCGACGACATAAAATCCGAAGCCATCCAAATGCCAAGAATCCATCTCATAAAGAAGATCATTCTTGAACACAATCTCCAACCACCCTTTATGCACTCCCGTCACAACAGAAACACCGTACGATGCAACACGGTTGACCGAGTCAACAGGAAACCGATCGAGCCGGTAAACACCGGACCCATTTTTGAAATGATCCGCAAGTTTCAACGGGGTACTCGGAGTTAGGTACGCGACATTATTCACCACATAGTTCGGTGAGTGATTAATCAGAGCCATCGATCCATGAAGAACAAACGTCTGAGATACAGTCACGTTTGTCACGTTAAAAGTGCCTTGCGGATTCGGCCTAGCCGCACCGACACTCATATTCCACCTACTCTTGCACACACAACAATGTAAAGTATTATTCATTAAGTATTATTAATTTATCATGTGGGATTAACAATGTAATACTGATTTACCTGATAGATTTAGCTTGATTAATCGAAAAATCTACGTCGAAAGGATCGGGTCCGTGGGGAACGGGATTTTGGACGGTCGAAACGGAGTTTTCGTAGTGTAGTATCCCTTTGGCTACAAGGGGGTCATTAGGGCCAATAGTCTTGTAAAATTTTGGAGTGGCAACGATGTAATAATCGGCTTCGTCTTGATTGGCCGTAACGAGAACCGAATACGATTGGCCAACGTGCACGTCTAGAGAATCCAAAACGATTTGATCCGTGTAAGAACCTTCCGTTTCGACAAGAACCATCGTATGTTTTTTAATTCGGAAGTTGAAACTCAATTGAGTTCCCACGTTCGATATTCTAAACCGGTAAGTCTTCCCTATATACGAATTGAATATCGGTACATTAGAGACACTAAAGAACTCGAAAAAAAAAAGTGAATATTTTAACTGACTATTTTTTTTTTAAATAATCACCTTTTGTGACATTGAAAGATTCGTAAGATATAGAATATGGGGTACCGTAAGGTACTTTTCCATTCATCAACATCACACCGGGGTAAACTCGAGGTTTCCATGCCAACCCTAGTCGAGCACGCTGTATGTATGTATGTATGTATATCGCACAATGCAGAAAGTAACTCGACGAATTAAAGATCACGAAAATAGAACATGACGAGAAAAAAAAATGCTTAAATGTTGTCGTTTAATATTACCTTGTAAGAGTCCTCGATCCAATCGCCGATAAGAAGGTCGAATTCGGCTTCCGGAGTAGGGAAAGGTACGCGGATGACGTGGCGATTGTTGACTCGGAGGGGGCCGTATCCTCCTGCGGCCTTATGGAAGTTCAACGAGGGGAAATAGGTGAAGCTTCCGATTTGGTCCTTTGTTTGAAAAGCGTAAGTCCAATTTGTTCCGGGCTCGATCGGGCAGTTTGTCCCCGATACCCCGTCTTGCCACGAGTTTAGCCTTTGTTGTATCCCATTCCTTCAACCCCACAAAAAAAAAAATTAATAAATTTTACAATAATAAAATAAATTATATATATTATAATTCGACTGCGTTCAATTCTGAGTCGATTCCAATAAAACTGAATACTACAATACATACCATGTGAAGAGTAAAGGCTCATCCATATTGTTGAAGACATTAACAAATACGACGTCGTTTGTTGTTGCATTGATGAGGGGGCCGGGGAATATTCCGTTGATTTTAATAACCTGCAAACAAAACAAAAAATTAAATCAACAGAGCTATAAATATATACATATATTATATGTATATATACGTACAGGCTGATTGTACGCCATTGGAGAAACGGTCGTTAATTCGGACGTAACAATCCATTCATAGTACACGTCAGCACAGTTTACTCCGGTAAGAAGAAGAAGAAGAGCGACGAGAAATATCGAAACTCCGGCGATTCTCGGCCGCCGAATGGGGTTTATGGAACCCATGGTCGTCGAGCACACTACGTGTTTGTGAAAATGCTTATTAATGTATGCACACCATGTGTTTGTGAAAAGGTCTGAGTGAGAATTGTGTTGTTGCAGGCAGGGGGGTTTGTGAAGAACGAAGGGGTTTGGGTTTGTTATGGATGTTAACTTGATTCGACGAAATCTATGCTATATTTTTGGCGTCATTTGTTATCCTCTGGGTTTTGTTTGTTTGGTTGATTGGTTCAAAGGATAATTAATTATTAATTAATAAATGTGGGATTATATGACCGGATCAAACAATGTTTAACACCTGAACATTGTTGTTCTCGAATTTCAGACAGAAAACAGGGCCTGCGACAAATTCAATGCAATCCAACTTCTTCAACAATATGAATTTAGATGAAATAAAAAAATAAAAAATAAATCAATTGAGCCTAGAAGAGAATATATATATATATATATATATATATATATATATATATATATATATATATATATATACATATATATATATATATATATATATATATATAGTGGCGAGTCCAGGAATTCGGTACAGGGGGCTTCAATTTTCGGGGGTTCGGGACAGCGCCCCCGAGATTTTTTTAGGATTTTTTTGAAAATAGGAAAAGGAGAAACGAAAAAAAAAACAAATTTTAGAGATTTTTTTGTATTAATTTGGATTTTGGGTGGGCTAATTAATAAAAATTGGGACTTTTTTGTATTAATTTGAATTTTGGGTGGGCTAATTAATAAAATATGGGGCTTCTTTGGCATTACTTAAAATTTTGAGTGGACTAAATAGAAATATGGTATAATATAGAGGATATATATATATATATATATATATATATATATATATATGTATATATATATATATATATATATATATATATATTTCACCGGGTGTAGCATAGTAGGAACCCCTTGCCCACGGGTGTGTATATATATATATATATATATATATATATATATATATATATATATATATATATATATATATATATATATAAAAGTAGGGGTGATTTTTACTTTTATTAGCGTATCTTTATTATATATATACTATGTTATCTTTATTATATATATATTCCGTATACCTATTATTATTCTTATTTATTAGGTTATCTTTTATATTAGATTTCCTTGTATATTAGGTTACCTTGTGTAGTAGGTTAGGGTTTCATGTAACTATATATATGATTAATATACGTAAGAGATATCATTCTCTCTTTTCTCCAAATATATTTCTCCTATATGGTATCAGACACTAGGTTAACCTAGCCGTCACCACCCCTTCTTCTCTTTTTCTGCATAGCCGTCGCCCTACCCCTTCTTCTCCATGGCCGGCGAATCTTCATCTTCTTCTCACTCCACCGCCCCTCTCAATCCTCCCCGTTACTCTAGATCTAAAAAATCCTAATTATCAAAAGTGGAGCCACTTTTTCACGATTACCATCGGTCGTTTCTGCCTCTCCAATCTTCTCCATGGCAAACCCCGACCGGATTCGATGTCCCACCAACTATCGCCAAGCTCTTCTTGACCAAAACTGGCGAAACACCATGATTGAGGAATATACTGCTTTAGTTAAAAACAATACTTGGAATGTTGTGCTCCGCCCCCCGTCCACTAATGTTATTTCTGGTAAGTGGATATACAAACAGAAACTCAAGTCTGATGGCTCCCTTGAGCGATACAAAACACGGTGGGTTGTTCGTGGGTTTCACCAGCAGGCTGGCATCGACTTTGACGAGACTTTCAGCCCAATTGTCAAACCAGCCACTGTTCGAACAGTTCTCAGTATTGCTCTCTCGCGATTATGGCCAATCCACCAGCTTGACGTGAAAAATGCCTTCCTACATGGCAATATCTCTGAAACTGTCTACTGCGAGCAACCTCCCGGATTCGTCGATCCATTTCGCCCCACTCACGTGTGTCGTCTCAACAAAGCACTCTACGGTCTCAACCAGGCACCACGTGCTTGGTACAAGCGTTTTGCATCTCATATTACTACCATGGGGTTTAGAGAATGCAAGTCCGACACTTCACTCTTTGTGTACTGTCGCAACAGTTCACGCGACTGTCGCAGCAGTTCACGCGACTGTCGCAACAGTTCATGCGCCTACCTTCAGCTGTATGTCGATGACATTGTACTTACGGCCTCCACACCTGAATTGCTCCGCTCTATCATCTCTGCACTTAATCAAGAGTTCGCAATGAAGGATCTTGGCGATCTTCACTACTTTCTCGGCATCTCAGTCACTCGCTTGTCGAATGGGCTATTTCTCTCTCAACGCAAGTACGCCGACGAGATCCTAGAGCGTGCACACATGGCTTCCTGCAACCCTTGTCTTACGCCGGCTGACACAAAGAGCAAGTTGTCCTCGACCACTGGACCCCCCGTTGCTGACCCTACTCTTTATCGCAACCTTGCCGGTGCACTGCAATACCTCACGTTTACTCGTCCAGACATCTGCTATGCTGTGCAACAAATATGTCTATTCATGCATGATCCGAGGGAACCTCATATGGCTGCTCTCAAGCGTATCCTTCGCTACATTCGTGGGACTCTCGATCACGGCCTTCAGCTCTCCCCCAATCCGGACCTCTCCCTTATCGCTTACTCCGACGCCGATTGGGGTGGCTGCCCTGACACTCGTCGTTCGACATCGGGCTATTGTGTTTTCCTCGGCAACAACCTCATTTCTTGGTCCTCCAAACGACAGGTCACTACCTCTCGACCGAGTGCGGAGGCCGAATACCGAGCTGTCGCAAATGCCGTCGCAGAAACGACTTGGTTACGCAACCTACTTTCTGAGTTGCTTTGCCCACTTTCGAAAGCCACTATTGTCTACTGTGACAACGTCAGTGCTGTCTACCTATCGAGCAATCCTATTCAACACTCTCGTACGAAACAGGTGAAGATCGATATCCATTTTGTCCGAGACAAAGTTGCTTTGGGACACGTTCGAGTCCTTCATGTCCCATCCGCCTACCAGTTTGCCGATATCTCACGAAA